GTCCAGTTTTTAAACCAAAACGCAAATTAAAGGCTCAAAACGTAGAGAAGAAGTATTTCGTCTTAGATCGATACCGTTTCTCATTTTATCACCTGCTGAATCTTTCAAAGACAGGAAAATAGTAAACCACATACAGTGTTACGAAACAATACCAAGCAAGCTAATGGATTTAGAAATTTGGTTTGCAGTTGTGACAGTTTCACGATATTGTACTGATAATTGCGTGCGTTTCATACAGCAAATATGTATGCTTTGTCCGCTGTACCGCCGAAAATATGTTGCTCTTACAAGGTTTAAAATGATTTTGCACAGAGAGAGTAAATTCGGCTTCTGTATCGTCTGCAATTAATACGTGTCTGGCAAGTAGATAGAATGCATCAGCTAAAAAGTATTTTTGTTGCACGAAGTGAGTATTTAAAACAGTGTAAATATTTGTCCTGCACTAAACAAAAGAATATGTTTTACTTAAACGAACATAGCGTCAGCCGGTCCCCTCAATGTACTGCCCATGAACCTCTATATATTTCCTATGTATGAGTATCCAGTTATTAAAGGCCTCTTTCTATTCAAGAGTTTGTATGATGTACCCGAATTGTGGCTTTCAAATTGCCTTCTCCTACCCACCTACTGTCCTTGTAAATCATTTGATAAGGTGATACAACCAAAATATTAGGGCTTAATTTTGGCGTTAAGGAGGGCATGAAAAGGTTTGGATGATGTGTCTTTCAGGATATGTCAGAGCAATGAGTTTATGCGCCAGTGTGCTGTGAAGAAGTTAATGGATACCTTGTAGATCGGGTAGTGCTCTCATACTCTGATAACACTTTGGAGGCATAGAGTGGCGATAGAGTTAGAACAGATTCCAAGATGACCTGGGGTTTATGCATCAAACTTTAATGATTATTAAACTGAACTGACAGACAAACTCCGTCGAACGATTTGTGGTCTTTAATCGTTTTCTCTGATATAAACTTTTAATTTACATTCAAGTCGGTGAATTCATGTTCTGTCACCAGTGTCAATCTAATTGAAAAGTTTATAGTACCTACCTTCATATTTGGCGAATACATGTGTGACGATTTCATCGCGAGCCTAATTTCGATGAATATAGGAATCAGCTATACGACCATTGTCAGTCATAACAACAATGTCTTCCACTCTATGTAGAGCACTTTCATCTATCTCATCCTTCACAGTTGCCACTTGCAGCCGTGGAGAAGGCTGTATTCCAGAACTCGAGGCATCGTCTATGGATTCAAAGCACATCTTTGTAAAGACGATAACAAACAATTGTTATTATACGAAAGAGAATTACATCCATTATCTTTGTCCAAGTTGGCTTTGATATCAGTGACAAGGCATCCTAAGATCGACGGGATTTTACAAAAGGCATTTTGCTCAATAGCAGAATTGTACTCCTCGGACGATATTTTGGTCGATGTCATTTACTTATGTTACGTCTCATGCATGTTTCGGGCGTGCTTGTGCATGCAGCCGTTTATCATGTTAAACAACAATATGTTGTCTATCGATCATTGTAAAATTTATTGACATGTTCAAAGAAACAAACGGTTATTTCTTTCCAGTTCAGATCTATTTGCAGAATGATATTGTAGATTGACCAAGAATAATTCAGCCGTCTTGGAAATACAAGATTTAGTTAGTTTTCACGTTTCATTCTTTCCTCATACTATACACCTACCCTGACTTGATTATATCAGCTTATCAGCCTCACTTTTACTTTTTTATGGATATGTGACATTAAACACACTTCTTTTGCGATTAAATTTACAAATATTGGATAGTGTGTGTAATGACACTTGGGACAGAGTTTACTATACTATAATTGATTGTGTTACATTGAAATTGTGGTTTTGAAGAATTTGTCATTATATTTTTAATTTGGCTTTCTAATATTTGCTATAGTTACCCCTTATTAATTATATCTATATAAACTGGAATAACTTTGGTTTATTTGATTCGTCAGATTGACCTATGTTTAATATATTGTTGCGTAGTCTGTCTTTAAATGACCATCAATAACTCCATCTCCATTACAAAAATAAATGATAAAATTCGAAATTCTCAAGAAATTTACCATGGTCTTTATTGATTTATCGACATTTTTTAATCAAATTATTGATTTATTTAACATTTTCTATTCTAAAGTTTGTGAGAAATATGTTTCGTTTGATCAACAGTTTTAAATGAAAGTGCATCCTGTATATTGTTCAAATTCTGTGTATTGTTCGTTTCAGTCGTAGTTTATTGTATGAGATTTTTACGATATATCTGTAAAAGACATTTTTCAAAATTAGACTTGTTGACTGCCAGCTTGAATACCTTTGACACCTGACTTCTTTACGAAGAGTTATATTAATCAACAAATGAATTTTTCAAGAAAATATACGATGTCAACTCAGCTAAAAACGTTAGTGACAAAATAGTTTGAGGAAAAGAAGCATTTAACTATGTTCTCCTAAGGCATCATCTCCAGTATTCCGATGTTTCAATTTTGATATGGTTTAAGGACATTTTATGGCTATATTTATACGACATGAACGGGGGCTACAATTTCTCAAAACATATGATTAGTATTCAGGAAAACATTGTTCCCAAAATGTGATTTTCAGACTCAACATATACCTTTAAGGGCTCGATGTTGGAATCCAATTTGAAATCAGTCAATAATTATTACCTGGAATCCTGAAGATCAAGTTCTATTACTAATAGCCTTACCACATAGACAGACGTAACGTGAGACATGCAATTATTTGAGTATGTATTAAACTATGTAAAATGAGGACGATTTTACGGCTATTTATTTTTCATTTTTGTCTATTTGATACATGTAATATACTTTTCAAAACATTAAAACAATGCTTGCATCATCAATGACATTTAGTACTTTATTTATGTTACAGCACATGAGTCAAAATTTGACTTCAAAGTAAAGCAGTAAACTTAATAAAGTTGCGAAACATTTATACATCAGACATGTATATAACGCTTGCCTTGACCATGCTTTCTTGTTTCCACCTCATTGTTTAATCGTTTAAAATTGCATTGCATTTGGAAGCCTCGTGTGATGCTGGACGTTTATTATTGAATTTCAAATAATATTTTAGATTTCACTATTAGGATCGTATGTCCTTGGAAGGTATTGAAGAAGGTCAAAAAATATATCCTTGTGCACAAAAATTAGATTACGTATTGTTAGACCTTAACTCATTTGTAGAGCAGAACTTGTAACAGTGATTGCTTTTCAATCCGCTCTGATGGTTACCATAGACACAGCTAAATAAATTAAATTGAGTCGCCCATCTAGCAACTGCAGTATAACATTTTGTAATTAGATTATCTAAGGCTACAAAATTATTCTGGTTTTCGTTTATTAGGATCTTCATCGCTACTCTGAAAGACACTTTAAAGTCTATAATCCAACACCATCCAAATGAAAGAGCATTTCAAACTAAGTACAATAAAGCGTTTCATCACATCAGTCATGAAGTTAAAGTTATAATAATGCATTTTCCATTGTTACTGAACATTGCCATATAGGCTGGATACAACAGAGACATCTCCATTCACACTTTGGTATATAAGATTCACATGGGTTCGGATCATGCTATGATGATCTGAGTAAAAAAAGAGACTGAATTAAGGTGCATATTTCTGGAAATGTGAACATTTTATTGCAGAAATATCTAAATGCAATGGAGTTCCTGTGACCAAATAACGAAATAAATAAAGTTTTAACTTTATTGACACATGTAAGCCCGAAAACAATGAGTAAAGGGGATGTATCCGTCAATAAAATATTGATTGTTTCAAAAGTGATTTCTTATTTTACTGCACATGAACGTCCAAAATGGCTTCCTAAGTTTAAACTTTCAAAATAAAATATCCTCTAATTATTGTGAGTGCAAGTCTGGTGTTGAATATTGATATATGACATAAAATATGTTATAATAATAACACATTCTATATCTTATTGCAATAATCAACAGCATTCGCACGGAAGAGAATTATGGGAAGACGCACGTGTTTAATCGTGGACACTGCTCTAATGACGAGATGCATTCTGGTCCTAGATGTGGCTATCTGGCCAGAACACAAACTGATTTATTTTATAGAATGTAAACCCTGTTCTGGAGCTGTTGTTATTGACGTGTAATTCTATTGTTGTACAAAATATTGTCATCTATTTATAGGGAGACTTTAGCTTTAAATTTCTCATTTGTCTCAAAACAAATTTTAAGTAATGTCACCATTATAGTCATTATAGCTTATAGCTCTTCTGATGCTAAAATCTACCATGATCGTCTAATTCAGCTTATTTAAGTTTTGTTATGTCGCTGTTATGCCTATTTAATACAGAATTAATTCTGCTCAGAGACGTAGAGATTTGAAAAACGAGATATGATTTTCTCTAATTGTAAACATGAACTTTATTGAAGTCAATGTTCACGCTATTAAACTTTCTGAGAAAGACAAGGTTTCAGATGGAACACAAATCGTTTAATAGGATAATGAAAACAACTTGCGTAGCCCTTTCTTTTATCAGCAATGGGTGGACTGGGTCCATTAGATCGGCACAAATCGTCTGATAGGATAACGAGAACATGTTCTTAGCATTTTGTTATGCCAGCCTTGGGTGGGCAGTATCCAGATGTATAAGCCGTCGTAACGTTTTTCTCAATGTGATTATGTGCCCTTGGGTGTGATTATGTGCCCTTGGGGAATGATGTCCTCGAAATCACTGCATAACATTTACAGATTTCATTTTATATTTAAATCTGCTTTACATTTGTTCTATTATCTTTTTATTGATGGGAATAGTACACAAATATGTCAATCCAATTTCTCAATTTTGAGGGGCAATACAACTTTAAGCTCGTAATTTGCCTGATAACTTTACATCGCATCAGCAATTTTAAAAATGAGGCGATGTCCTCATTGTTGACTATATCAAATATATGCACGCATAACTTTTCAACCGCTCTGGTAGCCTTGTGGTTAGAGCGTCCGTCTCGAATGCGGGAGATCGCGGGTTTGAACCCCGGTCGAGTCAAAAATGGTACTTAAGACTTATAAAAATGGTACTAACAACTGCATCGCTAGGCGCTCAGCATTAAATGGTTAGTGTTAGGACTGTTCGACCAGATGCAAGGATAATGTGACTGAGTGGGACTTCATGTTACATGTCTGCAGCATGATTCCCCAGTGCTAGACATCTTATAACTGCAATATTGCATGCATAGTAGCGATGTGATTGAAACATTGTTAAAACTACGATAAAAATCCAAACTCAAATCAGACACCTATACAACAATTATTTTAGAATGCGTTAAGCGCAATTTGCAACATACTGTCACAGTAGGTACATGCAGAGATTGCTTTCCCGCTCTATATTATCACTGAATTATCGCATGTTTTCGAATATACGATAAACTATTCCGATCTCAAACACAACGACGGAAATGATATCAATTAAATATATGACTTGTATGCATCATTTTCTGTCAATACATAATATGGAAAACGAATCATGTTTTCTTTATGAATATATAAATTTCCCCTCGAACAAAACATATCCAATAAAAGTAATTCATAATAAGCCCGATATCTCGGGAAAGGAAACCTCTCCCAAACCCACGCTGATTGGCTCTATACTAGTTTTAACCGATGTAAACAGAGAACAAATGTTGTTTTCTCTCTCTCTCTCTCTCTCTCTCTCTCTCTCTCTCTCTCTCTCTCTCTCTCTCTCTCTCTCTCTCTCTCTCTCTCTCTCTCTCTCTCTCTCTCTCTCTCTCTCTCTCTCTCTCTCTCTCTCTCTGTGCAGTTCTCGACACCACTAGGATTCTGTTAAGAACTATTTAATATATTGCAGAAGCTCGTTCTGTCATAGTGTTGCACTGCTATAACAATGTTTTTTTTTCTTAAGTTTATCTAAGTCTTAGTTCCTGATCACGTCGCAGTTAATTCGTCTATAGAATACCGTTAACTGTTTCCTACCTTAGCACTGAAAATCCCACTAAACATTGGAATAATGAAACGAGACTAAAGCAGCGTCTCAAAGCATAACCTCAATGGCCTTGTATTCCATAACTGTAGTTAAAGGCTCCAAAGGGTTTCACGTTTGTTTATTTTCTTCTCCCGGATCTTGTGCAGAGTCTAAACATTCTGTTCCAAAGGTACTTTAAGACCAACGGTCAAAATAAATACCAAATAATCAGGTGTCATAAATGTATTAGAGAGATTGGTTTTCTACATTAGTAATCTTACAACCAAATCTACAGCAATGTGGCATAATATCAAGTGGAGGAAACCCACTGTGAATTCGCATCTGTTTGGTGGCAAGCTATAATGTATGATGTCCTAACTTCATCCATTGTTAATGTGTGGTTCATTCTTATTTAACCTTTCACTTTTTACGTTAAGCTAAGTAATTCATTTACTCATCATAGAAAACAAAACAGAACTTTTTGTATCTGTATCGACTGTAAATAAGATTAGTGAGAATAAAACTGATTCTCAATAAGGACATATTCAAAAGAAATATACCGTTTTGCAGAGCAATTATGTATGATAACTGAGTTCGAGATCAAGGCGCATTACCTGTTCGTTGAAATCATATAGCGTTCCTGATTGTAGGCACTTATTAATTACTACACATAATTGATAAACAACCATTCTCTTAAAATTCAGGTCAATTTACCCATGTTGGTGTGCGATGTTGACTATTTCAGCTATAGGTGTCATTTTTGAGAATTAATTTACACATATATTTACAATGGCGATTGTTCATTTATTTCATTGTCGGTCTTTCAATATTTCTTGCAAAGTCATTATAAAACCACTCAGACTAAATACATATGGTAACGTCACTGTGAAAGTACGTTATCGTTTCTAAATGAAACCCGCTATTAGAAGTTAAAAGGTTTAAACCCGATATGGTGTCCAATGATTTCTAGATCTCTCTAATAGCTCAGAAAAAGTGAAGATTGCCGTTCGAATATTTGGTAGAACATTCTATACTTTGTGAAGAAGCGCTCCACTAGCTTGCGCATACCAAACACCAGCCTGTAAATATATTATATCTGTAGTAGGATTAAATAACCATATTGGTACCGCTATGCCTGTCTTTTATAGAAACTATATGCGCGACAAACATATTTCGTTTAGAGTACTTTACAGTGCTCTAGTTACGAATTTCCAGACAGACTCCCATATTCATGAATCGCCATCAATCATCGAGTGACAACTTCCACTCTGCCGGTACTTTGATGTTTTGAACCAAAATAATACTATAACAACCCAATGATCACCAGAGCTACAGTCTTTGCATCCTTAGTGGTTCATTCGTGAATGATAATTTCGCACTTGTGCAGATGGAAAATATTTACGTAAAGCATTCCATCTGGCATAATGTCAGTTATTGCGAAAACGTGTCTTTTGACACCTTTTCAATAAATAGCAACTTCATCTTGACAATGAGTTTCTTTCTGGTCACTGCATTTTGGTTTTCTTCGACCAAGTGTTGCATACCGCCGTTAGCCTATGATAAAATACAGCAAACCTCCCGTGTCCTCTACCATACTAAACATTGAATAACAAGCCTTGTTCTTCGTCTTTGTTTTTGTAAAGCCTGGTTTACCCTGGTCGCTTTTCTCTATCGGCCACTAATCTTCTCTAATAACCCCAATTCTATAGCTGTTTGTAATGTTGTTGATATCGCTCGTTATCTCTTTCTTTATGTTCTTTACTCAATATCTTGATTTGCTTCATCATGATCTTACATATTTGAGAGTTGCGCTTCTAAGTGATAATGATATGGAATCAGACCCTGCTATTCATCTTTCAACTTTTCCAATCGCATAGAAGAGAAATAATGATTTTAATGGTCTACCACATATTTTAGACAGCTGGTGAGAACAGGTCTACAATGACATAATAACATCTCGGAAATAATTACAAAAATAACTTCACGGAAAGAAATACAAGGGCACAATAGAAATGTGGAAGCTTTAGAAAGTTAAATTATATTAGTTTGTTTTACATATTAGTAACATTTATTATGGGAATAGTTAAGTGCTCACTTTGCTTCCATTTTAGCTGCGCATGTGCTCTTTTTCTCTCAAAAGCCCCAAATGGTTTGTCTCTACTTAAAATATGAATACGGTTAAATATTATCAAACTTGCAAATAGTGAAAAAGAAAAAAACCGAACCTGAATAATACAAATTAGATACATTTTCTCATTCCATTTGATCTAATGTAATCTTCTTTCAATTTGTAAATCGTTGAACCCTTTATGAGTATCGTTGTACTCATTATGTAAATCGCTACAATCATCTGCAGGCATACAAATAATAAATCAAAGACATCCCAAATTACTTCATATGGCAAAGATTTTATATTTAGTTGTTCCAACTGTTTACAGATATTTTACGTAATATGTTTGCATTGCCTCTCCATTGAAATCGTTTCTATTAATGTTCACAAGCTTATTTACTTTGCTTTATGGGTTCGCAAATAGTGTTTGTTTTCTTACTGTTCAAGCTTGCTTAAAAGATATTTGGTTCCATAGTCTAAATAATCTAAAAGTGAATTGTCAAAGTAAATGGGCTGAAATGTGATGATTCTGCTTTCTGCTATAATTTTGATAATATTTATAATGTTCATGCTGTGACTCTACTGATAATAGCTTCAGGTACTTTTAAATTATCTGTTAAAGGGTTAAAATTATGTTTAAACTTAACATTACACGTGGAAGGTAGATCACAAAAGATGGATTATATTAAGCCTAGGAGCCAAATGCATATTTATAGAAAGCTTTTTAAAGAGGTTAGTTTGCTTTAAGATCTTTATGTCAAATACAAAAGGAAGCAAATGCATATATCCGGATGAAAGTAATCACTTTCTAGAGATGAAAACGTATATACAAACAAATGAAGGGATAAACAATCTACTATAATCTGACTATACTAAATAATTGTGAAGAATTTAAAAGGAAAATATGTTCTAAAACACCTTGCTGTTCATATATAGGTGTCATAGTGTGTGTTGGATTTTTAACGTATCTTTAATAATGTTCAAGTCATTTCCCTACCAAGTCTTCAGTATGTGGACTTTAATAGTTATGTCTAGCACTGGACATCACGCCATAGACATACAGCATGATGTCGCTCTCAGTCCCTCAGTCGAATACGAGGCCTTCGGCATCCGAGGCGGACACTCTATCCATTTTATTTCGCATACAATGCATAGGAGAAAAAGTTAATGCCTTTCAAAATAATGTTTTAAAACTTTGACACGTCCCATACACGTCTCATAATAAAGGATGCTTTCATTGAATACTTGACCTTGGTTTCAAATTAAAAGTTTTAATGCAGCTTTTGTCGTTTAACGCCTATTCGTATGAGGTGACGAATTAATGTAAAATCATGAACAGTTTAAACAGTGGAAAATTAAAACCCAAGATATAGCGTAAAAGACCCTCTCGCTTCTAGTTTCATTAAAATTTGACAAAGGTTTGTGTATACTTTACCTTTCATTGGAATGTAGAGCTTATTTGGTCACATCAATCAACTGCTTAGCAACGATTAATAAATCGTAATATTGAGAACGAAATGCTGACACAATTACTTCCAAGTATTATCTCATCAATTACCGCTGTTAATCACATCTTATTACACGTAAGAACAGTCTTCTTACCATGATCTGGCTTTCTTAATCCAGTTTTACACCGGAAGGATGTGGCATTTACAAAACAGTGTAATTTTTTAATTGAAAAGTGTGAACTACGTCGACGGATCAAACAAACATAGTGCATAATTTGTGTTTGAAATGAATGTTTAGAGAGAATTGTTTCCTGTATGGAGCATCTGACAAATGTGTTTAAGGCTAGTACCAAGTACTATATATATATATATATATATATATATATATATATATATATATATATATATATATATATATATATATATATATATATATATATATATATATATATATATTTCCAGCAGCTGATTGTCAATAATGCATTTATTGTTAACGGTATAACGAGAGA